TATATCTTTTGATAGCTGGGCACCATCAGCTTTCTTCACCATATTTGCTTATGCACCCACTTTGTCTTCAGCGATTGTGTCGGGTAGGTGAGCATCATGGAATGCCAGTTAAATAGAACAAAGTATTCTTGCACTGAGGGAGTACTTGATTGGAGGTCCAATGTCTATCTACTACCTTAATACTAAACCTATACATATAAGCACAGAGATCTATTTTCACATCCTCATATATAAATATATTTTTATATGGACATGCCTTTATTTAGACCTCTATATATGCCCTTTGCCTTCTAGCTCTTTATTTCCTTTTACTTTCCTCTTATCTTACTATCATGTTCAGACTTCATTTGGGTTTCAGTAATTCCTCTTGGTTACATTACCCTTGGTCATGCCCTGCCAAGCCTCCTACACCCCCCTCACCACCGATTTGGATCACTTGTTCCATTGTCTCTGGGTTTGTTAACTCGACTTCCTTTCCCCCCCACCTTCCCCTCTCCCATGTCCCCCCTGGAACTGTTGGTCCCGTTGTTTTCTCCTCCAGATTGTTCATCCAGCCTATCTTATTTGGACAGACCTGCGGAGATAATAACATGCACAAAAACAAGACAGAGCAAAACCAAGCAACAAAAGAAAAGAAAACAACAACAATAAGTCAATGACAAAAAACAAAACAAAAAACAAGAAAGAAAAGCTTGTAGTTAGTTCAAGGACTCTTTGTTGGCCTTTAGGAGTTCAGCACATTTTTTATGCTGAAAAAGTCCCTGCCCCCGCAGCTTATACTTGAGTGGGGGTGGGGGTCCCACTTACCTGTTCTCCAGGTGCAGTGCAGCTGTTCTCCGTCTCTCATCTGCTGGTGCCTGCAGCCTCTATGGGTGGTCCGATGACTGCTGATAGCACCACTCTTCTTTTCTCCTGCATGCCGGCAGCCTCTGTATTGTCCACGCCATATTGGGCAAGAACCTGCCCGCTTCCGTGTGCTGGTACCTGGGGCGCACCACATCCTTGTCAGATGAATGTCGGATGCAGCAGTTCTTCTCCTGCTCTTCTCCAGGGCTGTGACCAATGACATAGCCTTTACAGTCTTACCCGTGTTTGGCCACGCCCCCCTGTT